GCAGGCTTTGCTGTTTCAGACTGGCATATCCACAGCTCAAGACTATTTCTCCATTGCGATGTCCACCTCTGCTCTACATCCTCACCTCACAGGGCAGCCCAGCTCCGACAGACAGCAAAGAAGTGTAAGAAAACTGTGGCCACCTCTTTTTTCCAGTTCTTCTGGCAGCAGGACTGGACAGATGGGTGACTCGGAGTCTGCCCTGTGTCTCTGTGCTGGTTGTGGAGATACGGGTTTAGCACAGAGGGTCACTATCTCACCTCATGTACACGCAAGTGGAAGATGCCATTCTGGCACCATCAGTGACCAGTGGTGCTGGCAGCCAGCCCTGAAAAATCATAACATGGTGAGCAGAGAAAAAAAAATACAAAAATGGCTTTTAAAACTGAGACATGGAAAATAATAATCAAGGGTGCTTCATGTTTCTCTTTCAATAGCTTTCTTGCTACAAACATTATGATGAGAAAAACATCTTCCCGCTACCCGTTGCCATGCAGAAATGCAGCACGCGGGCATTTTAGGGCCCTCAGAAGCTTCAGATGCTTACAGTTTGCTGGTTATACTAATGTTTTGCCTTGTCTGACCTACCTCCTCGGGGCAGCATAAAAATAACCAGCTTTAGTCCACTACTTGGCTGCTAATTGTCCACTTGTAGATCTTAGTCCCAGCTGGGCCTGCTTCTGCCCAAAGGCAGTTGTGTTCAGTAAAGTGGCTGCTCGCATTTGTGAGCAGCCTCACAATAGAAGCAGGTGGCTGCCATTTTCCATGCAAGAAAGCTCTTTGGAGCAAAGGAAAAGGGGCAAATGAGGAGAGAGGAAAAAAAAAAAAAGAAGAAAAAACAGCAAAAAAAACTCAATGCAAAGCATCTATGAGAGGAAAGCCTCTGCACTCCTCTGGTTAAAATGGATAGAGACCAGAAGTGTGGGTAAATTAAGAGAAGCAGTATTTCAAGACTTAGGAGGGAGAAGAAGAAATTCTGCTTTTATCATTTCTCTGCTAACCACTGCATCCAGGCCTGCCTTCTCTGTTTTCAACTTCGATCAGTATGCAACATCTAAGTATTTTCCAGGGAAGATGCAGCCCCCTGTACAGCTAATTTAAGCCTCCTGATTATGACTTCCTCCAGTGAGTTACCTTGTCCTCGACAGCTTACAAGTAGGATGTATTTTCCCTGGAGTGCTGCAGACCAGAGGTGGAAACCTGCAGCTAAGCACAAAAAGTAAAAATGGCCAGAAATCACTTCACCACTGCACGCTTTAGTCCTCTCCTTTCTTGAGTAGGTGAAAAAGGAAACTTCTAAACTGCCTGTCACATCCTCTCACTGGTAACAGCCGTCACCTGGAAAGGGGACAGCATGGAGCTTGTCTCTGGAAAGAAACAATAGAGGAAAAGCACCACAGAATGTGCTTGTTCAACAGCACTGCTTAGCAGAAGCCAGATTTTTGGTATCAAAGGAAATTCTGCTATTTTTAAATTGTTTTTCATGCAGAAATGTTGAAAATGAAGCCTTTGAAATTTCTTGCCTTGTGACAACTTGGGGGGGGGGGGTGTAAACCTGTCAGTCTATCAAAGACTTTATATTATTATACTGTATTCCAGTATCTATTCTGTTACACTGTCCAATATCTACTCTAACGTCTCACCTATATTCCCACAGCACGTAGGCATGTGAGCAGAATAGAGAGAGTGGTTGGGCACTGATTTTTGACCTCTCTTCCACTACAAGCATCTGGGAGCATCAAACAAAATTGATAGGAGCAGACTGGAAGCAAGCAAAAGGCTGTGATTCTTCACTCAACTGGTAGCTGAACTGTAGATCTTCTTGCAAAGGGATGGCATCAGGGATGGCAAAGTTTTACATGCGATCAAGGGGAAAATTAGTATTAGTATCTCACAGTCTTGCCTTGCTCTTACCTTTCTTCCCTTTGCTTTCAGCTCCTATCAGAAGTGGCACGTTAGGACTGGTGGACAGTCGTGTGAGTCATTATGATGATTTCTCAAATTTACAATGTTATTTCCTCTTATGAGGGATTCTTACAAATTCTTAAGATGAATTCATTCTTAAGATGAATTCTTACAAAATGTTTAAACTGATATGTTAGAGTATTGCTAACTGGTTTTCATTCATCTTCTGGAATAAAATGGTGTCAGTTTTGCATGTTGATATTGTTCCATATTTTCATAAGATGTCTTGCCTTCAGGCACGCATCATTTTTGAACTGCAGTCAGCATTAGGTCGCTAATTTCCCAGAACAATGTTTAATAAAGTTAAAGATGTGACCAAAAAAAAAATATATCCTGGATGCAGATAAAGTATGAATGATTTGTAAGAGCCACTTGTTCTGGTGTGCAGCTCATCTCATTCCAAAATAACTCCAGGAAGGGTGCTTTTCAGAAGGGTCTGTGCTCAGGCTGACATAATAGGGATTTTCCATTTTAGATATGAATGTCTTGTGACTCTGGTCACCTGAGGATATAGAGGTTTCCCCCATCTTCAAAGGGCTGAAGCTACAGCTGACACTTGGGTATTCTTGCTGGCCCTTCAGACCCTTCCCTTTTCAGTAAATCCAGATCAGCTTGAGACAGGACAGATTGAGACAGCACAGCAAGCAGTCAGGAGCAATCCCACTTCTTGAGAACTGGGAGAACAGTGTTTCTGGACCAGCCTGATGAAAGCAACACTAAGCATCATCTCTGCCATTCTGGCCATACCCAGCTGCTGCTTGCTTACACAGAGGAAAAAAAAAAGAAATGGTTCCTTGATTCATTAGGGTTTTGTCAGGTTTTCTTCTCCCACCTGCTGAAGGCAGTGACAAGTTTCCATCCGGTTTTCTCAGGTTTTCTTCTCCCAGCTCAGACCTGCTGAAGGCAGTGACAAGTTTCCATCCTTCAAAAAATTCAGTATAACTTGAAAATGATGAGACTCGGGGATCAGCACTAATTGTATTAATACTTGCTTGGAAGATTAGCTCTGAAAAACTGATAATTCGCGGGCTCTTTGTTCACTGTGGTTTAGTGCCTATGGATTCCCTCTCTGGAAGTGTGTTGCTGCAGCAGTTCTGTCTTTTGAGGTCAGTGTGATGAGCTGCGTGGGTGTTTTTAGACATGAATCACATGCAAAAGGCTGATTCTCTTTTTCTTTTCTTCTTTTTTTCCCCCTGACGTACTAGGCAGCTTTGAAAAAGAACAGCCTTCCAAATTCCCAGACTTCTTTTTCAATGGAAAAACAACATGAAGTCTTATACTCATTAACTGTTCTCTCTCATCTATGGTGTGTTTATTAACCACAACAATACCATGATTTATGCAGAATAAATCTATAATAGCTCTATTATAGATCTATAATCTATAAAATCTAGATTTATGCCTATAAATCTATAAACCCCTATATGGTGGGGTCACAGCCAAATGACTCCAGCAATGTGGGACCTACCACCTTAGGTGAATTGTACTGCAGGGTTCAGTAACTGGGAAATCAGTTTGTGTGGCATTGGAGACGTTGCTGGGTTTCCCTGGGTCAGTGCTCTGGCAGCATGAGGTGTTCCTAATGCTGTGGCTGTCCCAGACAGGGGCAGGAGCAGCATGCTGTCATCCTGGCAGTAGCAGCATCAGTGCTCCGGCTCTAAACGTGCCTGCTGCAATTCAGGTGTCAGCATCTCTTAAGTCCAAATCTGTGTAATTTTTTCTTCATTGCATAGAGAGAGTTTGTGTTGAGTGGTTTCAGGAAACAGGTTCTTCCAGGACAGGGAACCTTTTGGGATTTTGGATTATCCACTACCTGCCAGCAGAGGTTAAGAAGTGGACCAGCCTCCTAGAGCCTCTGGGCCATTCCTGGTGAGTTGAAGCAGTGTAGATTGTTGTGTTAGTACTGTAATGACTTTATTTTGGCTGCCAACTAGCAATTATTTTTTCACTTTCTCTGTGTTTTTTGTACTGTGATTATTTAAATTTAGGTCTGTTTGCTGAAGTATAGTGACCCTGGGGCCATGAACGCTAGTCCTGAAAGCTACCTGTATTTGTAGATGAAGGAAATGTAATGATTGCTAAAGTGAGGATAAGGCTGAGCTTTGGATCTTAATTTCACCTGCATTTACATGTTCTGGTAGGGAGGGAATTGCTGGCAATGTCCTCAGAAATACCCCTCCTGCTTTTTAGTGCTCTGAGTTCCCCTGCCTGGGTGACTTGCCAATGGCTCAGCAGCATTTGCATTTGGAGCATAGGGCCATTAGGCCCTCAGAAGGAGCTTGGGAGTCTCTGGAAAGTTGGGTTTTTTGGTCCAGGCCACTTTCTTTCTTTGAGAACCTCAAATCACTCTGCTGAGTGACTGTTAAGAAAGCAGGTGAGAGACAAAACCACCCCTTTCATATCTGACTTCAGTGCAGATACCTATCTGTTATACTGGCTTTGGGAACAAGGCATGTTCAGTAGCACTAAGGGACCTGGGCATTTTGGAAAAAGCAGGTTTGCCTTTCTATTATTAGCATCCTCATTAAGGAAGTGTTGTTTGATCTGAAGCATTTTGGTGCCTAGTGTCCCTTCCCTATTGATGAGCTGCCAGTCTCACGGCTTGGAGCAGGTGCTTGGATAAACCTCTGCTGTCATATTGGCTGCTTTTATAGCTGAGACCTCGGGGCACTTTCAAAATTCATAGAACCATCGATTGGTTTGGGTTGGAAGGGACCTTAAAGATCACCTAGTTCCAAGCCCCCTGCCACGGGGAGTGACACCTTCCACTAGACCAGGTTAGTCAAAGCCCCATCCAGCCCGGCCTTGAACACCTCATGAGACGTAATCTCATATTAGAAGGCCACCGAACTTGTCAGGCATGATTTGTTCTTAGTGAATGTAATCTCATATTAGAAGGCCACCAAACTTGTCAGGCATGATTTGTTCTTAGTGAAACCATTTTGGCTGTCACCGATCAGCTCCATTTTTTTCATGTGCCTTAGCATAGTTTCCAGGAGGATCTGCTCCATATGTTTTTCATGTGCCTTAGCATAGTTTCCAGGAGGATCTGCTCCATGGTCTCTCTGGGCACAGAGGTGAGACTGGCTGGCCTGTAGTTCCCTAGGTCTTTCTTTTTTCAGTTTTTAAAAATAGGGGTTATGTTTCCCCTTTTCTAGTCAGCTGGCAGGTTCCTCCCATGGTCTTGAACCTGATCCTTTCCTACACTTGGCAGTTCTTCATTCTCCCAGTCCCTGCTCTTCCCACTTTGAACTTTACTGTTTCATGGTCATTGCAGCCAAGACTGTCCATGAGCTTCACATTCCCCACCAGTGCCTCCTTGTTGGTGAGAACAAGGTCCAGCGTAGCAGCTCTCCTCATTGGCTCCTCAATTACCTGCAAAAGAAGGTTATCATCAATGCATTCCAGAAACCTCCTGGATTGCCTATGCCCTGCTGTGTTGTCCTTCTAACAGATATTTGGGTGGTTGAAGTCCCCCATGAGGACCAGGGCTTGTGAAGGTGAGGCTGCTCCTATTTGTCTGTAGAGGGCCTCATCCTCTCAGTCTTCCTGG